CGCTGGCTCTTCAGCTTTGAAACGGAGATGAGCACCGCAACCCTAGAGTCAGATTCGACTGGCTTTTGAGCAAGGGAAACCTTTACCTTTAAGGGGAAGAAGTGAAATGGGTATGAATTCACTCCTTCTAATCCCCCCACTGCAGATTATTCAACAAAGTGTGGATGGTTAATTATGCCCTTCTGTTGTTGTTGTTGTTGTTCAGTCGCACAGTCGAGTCCGACTCTTCGTGACCCCATGGACCCCATCACGCCAGGCCCTCCTGTCTTCTGCCATCCTCCGAAGTTTGCTTAACTTCACGTTCTTTGCATCGATAACAGCGTCTGCCCATCTCATCCTTTGCCGCCCCCTTTTTCTTTGGCCTTCCGTCTTTCCCAGCATCAGGGGTCTTCTGCTCCAGTGAGGGCTCTCTTCTCATTTGGGGGGCAAAGTCTTTGAGCTTCAGGATCTGGCCTTCCAGGGAACAGTCAGGGTTGATTTCTTTTAGGATGGACTGATTTGATCTCCTAGCAGTCCAAGGGACTCTCAGGAGTCTTCTCCAGCACCATAATTCGAAAGCATCTATTCTTTGGTGCTCGGCCTTCCTTATACTCCAACTCTTGCAGCCATGCCCCTCTCAGGGCTCTTCACTTCAAAGACCCTTTCCCCTACTGTGTGCTCTCTAGTGCTGTCCTCTTTTTCATGTCAGCAAATGCATCCACCAACCTGGGTTTTTGTCAACATCAGCTTATTTCCAATAGCATGTATTCCTTATGCTAGTGTTCAGGTGTGACTGTACCCATCTCTTGGACTAAGGACGCCTGATTGTGCTCTTGGGAGAGCATCTATGCTTCTTGGCGGCTTCCTCATCGTCCTGATAGAATGCCCTATTCTCTATAGCTGCGTTTCATATGGATAGTAGATGTCTCTGTAATAGAATGTCTACTCTGTGCCATTCAGCTGTTTTTATACAGAAGGGAGCTGGGTAATTCTTCCTCATCTGAAAAGTACTCTGATTGACGATATACGTAATTTTTCAGGAGGAAGATATTTAAGGCAAAACTACTGGGGACAAAGTGTGGATGCACTATGGATATAGTGACATTTTTAGCAATTGATGAGAATAATTTCATTAATCGGCTCAAACATGGCTAGAAATAGTATTTTAACAATTTCTCTTAACTGTTTTGAATTGTTTCATTTGTGTGCATGGCGCTCTGTGGAGTCTCTGCCCCAAGGAGCTTACAATGTAGAATTTAAGACAAAGGGCAGCAACAGTGGGGAAGAGGTACAAGGAGGAAAGGGGATGAATGGAAGCCACATCCTTCAGGCACTCAGGAACTGCCCATCCTTTTTCAGAACATGTGAAGCAGCATTATACTACCCTTGGTCAATCAAGGTCAGTCTTGTCTAGTCTGGCTGGCAGGTGCTCTCCAGGGTCTTGGGTTGGGATCTGCACATTACCTACTATCCGCTCCTTTTAGCTGAAGATGCCGGGGATTGAACCTGGGACCTTCTGCATGCAAAGCAGATGCTGTGCCACTGACCCATGGCTCCTTTCTCCTTGTCCCCCTTCAAGGAATGCTTTTCATACCACCCTCCCAGACTTAAGAACATAAGAGAAGCCAGTGTTGGATCAGGCCAGTGGCCCATCCAGCCCAACACTCCATCACACAGTGGCCAGAAATACCATCAGGAGGTCCACCAGTGGGGCCAGGACACTAGGAGCCCTCCCACTGTTGCCCCTCCCCCCAAGCACCAAGAACACAGTGCGTCACCTGCCCCAGCTTGAGTGTTCCTATCTATACCTTGTGGCTAATAGCCCCTGATGGACCTCTGCTCCATATGCTTATCTAATTCCCTTTTGAAGCCGTCCGTGCTTGTAGCCGCCTCCACCTCCTGTGGCAGTGAATTCCACGTGTTCATCACTCCTTGGGTGAAGAAGGACTTCCTTTTATCCGTTCTAACCCGACTGCTCAGCAATATCACTGAGTGCCCAGAAGGAGTTCTTGTACTCCAGCTGTTGTCCAGATCAGTGGTGGGGTGCAGAAGTAGTCCCAGTGCAGGGATGCAGGGCTTTCCTAACAATTACTAAGAGTTCACTCTCCTTCAGTCCCCATTTCTTTCTGCAGATGTGACATGCCCTGTTCTGCTGACCCTGCCTGCCACTGAGGAGCCAGCTGTGACCTTGGGCCGTTGGTGCTTCTCCTCCTAATTCCCCATTCTCCCTGCCCACAAGCAGATATCTTCGATGTGTCACTTCCTTCTGACTGTACCTGCCAGGGATTATCCATTGTGCTTCTGCAGGTTTTTGTATCCTTAAAACTTGCTGTAAATGCCCATAAACACATCATTGTCCTTGGGGAAAGTGGGCTTTTTGTGTCTGTCATGGTGAGACCTGGGTTCTTTGATAGAGTGATGGGTGGGACGTAAAATGATGAATGTTTATTTATTTATTTCTTAAATTTCTTCCCCACCTTCCCGCCGAAGCGGCTCAGGGCGGCTTATGAACAATTTAAAACCAACATACAATTTAAAATCAGCAACTACAAGATATAAAATACAATTCCATACAATTCCAATAAATACAATGAAGCTAAATAAATACAGTGGAAGAAGAGATTGGATTTATGCCCTTCACTACCCGAAGGAGTCTCAGAGCGGCTTACAAACTCCTTTCCCTTCCCCTCCCCACAACAAGATACCCTGCGAGGTAGGTGGGGCTGAGAGAGTCCATTCGAGAACTGCTCTTTCAGGAACAGCTCTGATAGAACTATGGCTTGCCCAAGGTCATCCAGCAGCTGCAAGTGTAGGAGTGGGGAATCAAACCCGTTTCTCCCAGATTAGAGTCCGTGCTCCTAGCCACTACACCAAACAGCGGGTCGAAATAATTTGCCTCTGGACTACTTTGTTCAATATTCAGGTCTCTTACAATAGGGGCCCGTGCCTGTAGCTCTTTCGAAGTCCTTTTGTGGCACATATCCATAGAAACAAGGGTGTTCAATTCTTTTGAGGCCAAGCACTGTGCCATTTGGTTCCATCCAGGGGTACATTCTCTTGCGCCATCCCCACAGTCATGCTGTCTATACGGCTCTCGATTTGTCTTGCTGAAGCCAGAGTGGGCTGAAGCCAGGGCTTGTGAACACTGCCCTGAGCTTGTAGTCGCAAGGGTGCGGTAAAAAATGTGCTTGATTGTATATTCCAAATGTGCATGTGCTATAAGTATGAGCAACAGACGTACCCTGATGACCACCTGTGCCCTTGGAGAGTTTTGTTGTCTGAAGTTAGAGTTCAGTTGCACGGAGCAGCCAGCGACTTTTTGACCGCCTACGGTGGGGGGTGGGCTGTGCGTTCCTTTTAATGGTCTGCTACTAATCAGTCAGAAGAATGACTTCATCCGAGCCTCATTTTTGAAACACACACACACACACACACACACACACACACACACGCTCCCCCCCCAGCACAACAAAAACCTCTTCCGCTTCTCAGTCGCAGGCGGTTTGGCACTTCTCGTTGCTTTCCGTGTGGTCGACTCTGCCATTGTTGGTACATTTTTTTTAACCCATTGTAAACACTCGTAGGGGAGTTATGACCCTTCCAATTTGAGGGCCAAACCCTGGATTGTTATTCCTCCCTCCCGTTTTGATGCTCGTCCGCCACACTTTCTTGCTTTCTTCCTGGCCTCTCTCCCTCCAGAATTCTTATTTATGCTTCGATACTCCATTTCCATCTTGTTAACCTCTTTCATCATCTCTCCGGCTTGGAGTGTTCTGGTCTGTGGAGCTTCTTGCCACAGTCTGTTCGGGGCTGCTTTTGCCAAGTCTTTCCTAACTCTGTTGTGCGGAAGCGTCTGCCCCGATTCAGCAAAGGGAGAGTAATGTGTAGAGGCCGCTCTTGTATCCAGGATCCCAGGTGAATCAGGAGCTCTGAGTGCTTGTTGCATGTGGATGAAGGGGAAGATGTGGCCCGTGGTCGCAACACACAGTGTCTGCTCATGCACATTTCTGTCTACACTGCAAAACAGACGGAACTGGGAACCCTCCCAACCATTGTCCCAGGCTTCTCTGTGGTCTGTGTGTGCGCGTGAGAGAGGCTGTGATTGATGGCACCACACCATGGCAGGACTGGGAACGTGGCATCCAGTTAGTCTTTGAATTTCAGTGGTACCTAATGAAAAAGGGGCGATTCTGCATC